TTTTTTTTTTTTGCGCCTTTTACCAACCAAAAATATGAAAGCCACAAATTTGGCTCAGTGTTTGTTTTAAACAGGCAGGTCTGCTGTGCAAAAATACTTCCTGCTCCATATTTAATACCAGTGTGCACAGACGACAAGAAGAATCAGACAAGAGTGTTTAAACAAAAATTGTAATTAATGTATAATTCTTTATTAGTGCACTGGTAATTCAAATTTAGAGTTGGCTGCCATTATTAAAATAATTAAAATGTAGATATATATAAAAAATGAAAATAGAGCGGAAATGTGAAAAAAATAAATGTAAAAACACATTTCAAATTTTAACTAATAAGTATGACACTTTGTGTTTGTTCTAGTCTTTCCCAAAGTATTAACCACACACTGGGTTGATTGCCTGGCTCAGGTCCATGATTAATGTTCTCATTTTTCACACTGACAGGAAACATTTGAAGCAGACTTGCACATCAGATTCGCATCAATTCATTTTTAGTTGTCGTCACTTGCTGCGAATAATTGTTCATCTTCAACTTTAAAAGTGTGCACACGGTTTTCCTGACCGCAATCTCTGAAAAGACATGCTTCGAATCAAGCCTGCACGTGCAGTGCTTTACCAAGTCTGGAATTGTAGCTCAGGGCTCAATCTCTGTTTAATCAAACTGACCCAGCAGGGTGTCTGCAGTTTGATCAGCGAGCAGGCTGCTGGGGTGAACCAACAGCTCACTGCCTCAACCCTCACAGTGTGACCGATGATCCACTTTAATACCAGCTTTTTTAGAATCTGCTTACAGTAAGCTTACTTAATTTTTACAACAGAGAGACGTAGGCATTTAGATCCACCTCATGGTCACGAGCTATCTCTCTCCCACACGCACAAACAAGAAACGCCTTTTAAAGTGATTCTGACTCAATGTGGGCTCAGGAATCGTTTCAGTTACACAGCAAATGTAATTTCCGGAGAAGAAAAAGAGACACATTTTATTTGCTTCACTAATCAGTGTTATGTTACATCTGTGTGATGGCTGATTGTCAGCTGAAGCACACGGCAGGCATAAATTCTACAGAGAAAATCATGTTTTCATTTAAAGGTGCATCACTTTTTTTTATCCATTAATATCTGTGCTAGCTAATTGTGCCGCTATTAGAGCATTACATGTCCACAGAACACGTTTTTACCCAATCTGCTGATTACGCACCAAATGTCATCAGCAAAATATCTTAATATTAAAATAGAAAATTGTCTCTAATACTTATCAAGGTATCATTATTGAAGAGCCCATACTACTACTAGTAATAAAGAAAAAAATGTCTTAGAGCAATCTTAACTTAAGCGCAGTCTTTTGGCTCACTTTGATTACTTTTAAATACACTGACAGCATCATTTGAAACTGTGTCCATGTTTATCGTGAGCATGCACATGTGTAATTAGGATTGCCATAATACTAGAATTTCAAACTCGGTGTAGACACCTAGGAAAACGTTGGTCGCTCCCTTCCATTGTTGATGCTTATTTCCTGTGCTTGTGGTGACTTGGCAACGTATGTCATTGCTAATCAAATAGAGTCGGTACATTATGCTGCGCTGTCTCTGTCTACTTGCTGGCAGACTTTTCTCAGTTTCAATCTGACAATCTGGCATAATACTATGTAGACTCAAAGAATTGTGTTATCCTGTTAAATCAAGACTGCCCATCATTGTTTCAGACTGGTAGGACAGCTCCAATCTTAACATCATGGTTTTATCATTGGGTGCAACCCACTACCTTAATCGTATCACCTAATGTGGTGATCAGGTGCTAATAGTTAAACTGCTAACAGGACAATGCACACCTCCCAGGTTAACAATTATGATAGCTGTGTTGTTGAAATGGGAGCTTTACTGCCCCCAGGAAACGTCTCATAAAGATCGCTGTCTCAGTCTTTAGGATGCTTCCGCAAGTTGTGCTGCTTGTCAGCTATTAGTGAGGGCAGGGCCTTTTGTGCCTGTCTGTCACCAGCAGTGCTGTGTGGGGTTGGGTGTCAGCTGAAGGAAGTGAAGACAGCACTGTTGGTATCAGTACTGCTGTGAATGGGTATTTAATTCAACACTAATTTTACTTATCAATAAATATCAGAACTTCTTTTCTTTTTAACAACCCTAAGTGTAATTTAACATTTGCTTAAAGGTTTGTCAGAAATTCATTATTGTACTAAATTTACTGGAAGCTTATGTTTTTGACCAGAGTATTAATGTAACAATTTAAATAAATGCAATGGCTATTAAATGCATTTAAGGGTGAAACATAGAAGAGAAATCTGAAGGGTTTGTAACCTTAGTCGTTTTAATGTCTTCCTATTTGTCAGCCCCAGCCCTACTCTGTCCATCTGACATTGAAACAAAGTACAGATTCTCAGCAGGATTTTTTGTTTTGATTCCCGACTAATTTAGACAACCTTCTGAGAGTCACTCAAACAAAAAAATCTGCCCGGCATTTGACGCTCGCTGGGTGTTAATATCATAACATACGAGTAACAGTTCGTAATCTGATTAGAACTGCTGCATAAATATTCATGTTGATGGGGTAACTTTTTTTGTCTTATGACAGTTTAATACAGCAACACGGGGAGCTCGTAATACCACCATCAATGCATCCTGTAAAAACAAGGCATGCTAATGTAGAGGTCGATGATAATTAAAATGTTCATTAGCTTGGAGAAGGACCTCATTAGTGTTACTTGTTATGTGTAATTTATCATGGTTGTTATCCCTGGGCGTTTTCTTACTTCAGTGCATTTTCTTAAAGATTAATTTAGGAGCCAAAATGTGTACACGTACAGAGTTTGCTTCCTTGTTAAAAACTTGTCATGCCAATGCTGTATAAAATATGCATATGCAAGAATTACAGTATGTGTGCATGTGTGCATACTGTAATTGTCACAGTCAGTCTGGACTCTTTTTATATATGGGTAGCACGGTGGCACGGTGATTGGGTGGCCAAGGCATTTCTTTACCAGCTTCCCCACACAGTCCAGAAACATGCAGTTAGTGGGGTTAGGTTAATTGGTAGCTGTAAATTGGCCATAGGTGTGAATGTGAGTGTGAATGTTTGTCTGTCTGTATGTGCTAGCCCTGCGACAGACTGGAGACCTGTCCAGGGTGTACTCTGTTTCTCGCCCTGTGGTAGCTGGGATAGACCCCAGATCCCCCTCGACCCTGACAAGGCTCCCCTGGATGGATGGATATGTTTATAGATAGATAGATAGATAGATAGATAGATAGATAGATAGATAGATAGATAGATAGATAGATAGATAGATAGATAGATAGATAGATAGATAGATA